CTTTGTTAGAACAATATAATATGAGACAAGGTTCACAGAAAGTCACTGTGTCTTGAATTGGCATATTTTGCCACTTAATTGGGATTTAGCACTTAATCAAATCTGGTGTCTACACTTTAAACTGTAGACAGTTTAAGAGTGTCTGCAGTCAACTTTTAAATTGACCAATCATTCAGAAAGGAGAGAATGTAAACCTGCTTCTGTGAAGTTCTGGTTTGTTCATAGAAATAGCTTCAAATGGAAATGGTCTGTAGTCACTCACCTAAAGCAAACAAAGTGGTTGAAGGTAGTACTGAGAATGCTGGAATCCCAGCAGAATATTAAATAAAGCTATCTGCACTGTTCTGTAAGATACTTGTCTGAATTGCCAGGCTCATACCTACCACAGTTCTTCTGCTTTGTGTCCTTCAAAGAAAAAGCAACAATGGTTTCATTTTCTGCTATTGTTTCCCTTGCCCTTGGCAGTCTGTTTTGGGTCTAGCATATTTTCCTGCAAACTTAATAGAAGAACTGAAAAATTACCTGGTAGTCATTGCTTTACACTGTGGTTGAGATGTATCAGTAGAAGTTGAGAAGTCTTTTATACCATTACCTGGATCTTACCTGGTCAGAAATCAGATGTCAGCATCCTATATCTTTCACTAGAAATTGTTTTTACTTCTGAGTACTTCAGAGTTCTGTGGAGTAAACCTGAGGATGAATTTCATAACAAGGGCTCCAACTCATGTGCTAATGACTAAAGTCCAATGCTAGTTCATCCTGCCTTATTTACAAACCAAGGGAAACATTGCTTCTTTATACATACAGGTTGTGATATGCAACAAAACTGAGATAAATACAGATGTCTCAGAAAATCTTCACTTTATTTTCCATGTTTATGTTTGACAAATATTGCATACAGGGGATATTCAGATTAGTGTGCCTCTCTACCCTTAAAAATAATAATGTTAATTGCATTTTTTTAAAGCATACAACAACTTCTATGCTAAGTAAATACTATTTAAAAGGAACATTGTTTCAGAAATAAACTAACATTAATTATTTGAATAATGTTTGAGAATGGAGATGAAAAATATATAAAGCATTTGTCTTAGAAGTATAAAATATATTGCTGAAAGTCAGTTTGTGTTCTATGGTTCAGTTTTTTTTCATTATTCTGCTGTTGTTCTTAAAGCAACTTTTAAGCATGCCATATATGTTACTCCTCTGCTAGCTTTAAGAAAGATTTTGTAACTATGTAAAACAATTGGTCAGGGAGGCCTAGTCTGTTGTTACTCCTAGTTGTAGGTCTGTAGAATTCAGCTTATCTCAGACAAAGGTAAAGATAATTGCCTTACAGAAATGCAGGTTAGGCACTACAGTAGTTATATTTCTGTGTTGTATTGGGTTTTTGTTTGTTTTTAATAAACTTTCCAGGACTTGTTCTGCCAGGCATGTTTCAGTTAGACTGGTAGACTTATTTTGCCAGTGTTTTGAGATTGTTACCTTATTTTTCAGCAATTTTTAAAACAGTTTTCAACACTTAATTGTGATGATTTAAATAAGGCTATTCTAGACCATTTAGAGTTGTACATCCACATTAGATGCCTCTAGGCCACTGAAGCACAATGGGTATGTAAGGGTTACAGTTAGCTAGGACAGTTCTACAAAGAAATAGAAAATAACTTCCTTTATTACAGTTGCTTTGTTTTTCCAGATTGCCTGTTTCAAGCTGATGGTGTGCTTTTAATAACCATATGTGTTCAGGATCCTGGCTTCACGTGTCACTGAGAAGTGGAATCTTAAACACACCACCACTGAAACAGAAGGGGATGATGTAGGAGTTACTAGGCACATCCTTTGTCTACTCAGCTTGAGGAAAATAGTTGCAGAACAACATGGTATAGTTAAAGACCACAACTTTATCAGCACACTTTATATGTGATGGAACTATTATTCCAGACACAGCATTTGCCACTGACAACAACTGGATTTAGCTCACTGAGGAGTTCCTGGGTTTATTGCATGTTTTGATAACAGACTTTTAAATCATGTCTCTGTGTTTGTTGTGTGCATGCCCTCCCATACATCCGGGGTTTTTTTGTAGTATAATTCTGATCTGTAGTACCTGTTGCTAGTGGTAAAAAGTTACTTTGAAACAATATTCTGCTTACACTGTTGTCATTAGGTAGAAGTAAAATTGCTATATTCCTACTTCATAGTGGCTACTGCAAGCATAATAGGTAGTGCTGATATAGCTCACCTGAGTTGACTGACTGCCATGTAATTTGGCCAATATAACTGTAAATATTAGTCTTAGATACCTCCCAGACATTTGTAGCCTGAAAAATAATCCAGAGAATCTTGGGTACAGTTCTTGGTGCTTACTCAAGTGAGTAAATGGGACTACGAACTTTCATTCTACTTTGGTTCTTCTTAAACAGCTCAGTTGCCTTCTTGTATTCATTTTTGGGTCTACTACCTACTGCGAAAGTTCTGTTATAAAAGAAGTTGCTTAATATGAGAAGGGATAATACACAGTTGGAGTTGTTTTAAACAGAGGTAGAAGCTTGTTCCACTTTAGTGTGGTTATCATTGTTTATTTAATAATATGTTTTCTCAGTGTAAACCTTAATGGTGAGATCAAAGGCTGTTATGCTTGCTAAAACTTTAGAACACAAATCCATTAAACCAACTTCTAGTTACAAATGCCAGCCTGAAAAAAACCTCATACTTTCTTCTTGGTGTGTGCTTGTCAACACACACATTCTGTACAATGTGATAAGACACTTGTAGTTAACATGTGCATGCAACCAAAATAGATTAAAGGCATGTACTGAAGTTTTTAAGACAGCACAGACTAAACAATCAGGAATTTAAGGCATGTTAGAAACAGGGAGGGAAAATAATTGTGCTCATTTATTCAATTTTAAAATGAAACAAAAATTATTACATAGCCTTCTAATTGACAGTCAGAAATTAGTCTTTTGAAACAGTAAGCATACAAAAAATCATGTTTAGGAATATGAGAAAAACACTCTTAAGTTTACTGAAAAGTAAATACAGTAGATTGCCCCACTCTATTTGCATTTGTATAATGAAAATTCCAGCAGGCAGCTGCTTACTTCATAATATCTTTAAAAACTTTGTGTTGCTCCTCTGGTCTATAAGAATCTGGCCCTTATGTCCTTATCAATGTCTATGTAATTCCCTTGCATGGGATGCAAGACTGGTAATAGATGAAAAAACTGTCATGCAGTCAGAATTCTGGTTTAGCTAGTTACATGCACAGTCCAGCAGAGCTAATACCTTGCTGGGATCCTGCAGCATACTCTGCTTTCCATGCAATATACTAAGCATTCTGACATCATAGAATCTTAGGTGCCCTAAAGAGCACTGAGGAAAACTAGCTCATTTGTGTCCTGAAAGGTTGGCAATTCCTATTTTGAGTCATTATTCTTAAAATTAGTTCTAATATAGACTAAAATCCTTGCAGTTCTGCAGTGTCTATTTAGCTAGCCTAAAGAAATTCCTGTGAAATCCTAACACTGCTGCCAGATGAAAAGGCAAAAAGAAAATTTCAATGAATAGCAGAAATCAGAATAATTTTGCATTAAACACTGGCTCATGCTCTGTCCATTAAAAAGCATTTTTTGTTCTTGTTAAAATTTGTTTTTGCCAAGCTGCTGTTCAGGTTCCTAGTAATCATCTACATACATGTTGTTAACAATTGCCCTTTTCATCATGCATTTGATATGCAAACTGATTCTTCTTGTGTTAGACTGTGAGAATGGTAGCTGATGTGTCCCATCTGCTGAGACAGATAAGGCATTTCATGACAGTTTAATGAAAAATGTTCTGTTCTATCTCCTGCGCTCCCCACACTTTTCTCCTTATCGGCCTTTTTTCCCCTCAACAAAAATGCAGCCAGGCCATGTGGCCTAACATCTTATTCCCCTGCTGCTGACCCAGCCCAGACATGACATCAGTACTCGGGCAGGATATGTCAGCTTCCTCAGGGCAGAAGGGAGCATGGTGTAGGAGGAGCTGAGCTGAAAAGTTCTCAGGGGATGAGAGGGGTGTATTACAACTTGCATATTTTAAGCAAGCAGAATGGAATCTCTTAAAACAGATATTGCTGCTTAGATTTTTATCACTTACAGGCAGTTCATACCAAGTCAAGGACTTTAAACCAAGTTTGAGATAATATAAAAAAGAGGGCAAAAGCAGGCCAATTGAGTAAGTCAAAGTCATTTAAAAAGGTCCAGAAGAAAGTGATTGTGTCTCAGAAAAATGAGGCCAGCAGCTAATACAAAATAAAGCAACCCACTTCCACAGAAAGAAGCAACCCATTTTGTAGACAGTCAAAAGCATGTGAAAGCAGTGTTATTTTAGTGCAGCTGATGTGCTTAAGAACCATATCTTAATCTGTCTTTGATAACTTGCTGCTTTAGATATACCCATGGGTGCTTCAGGCTATATGTAGCCTAAAAGGTGCAAAACTGGTATTATGACCTGTTAGGGGGTTTTGCCCAGTCTTGAGGATTAGAGAAAATGGCAGAAGGACAGCAACACTCTTAAGTCCAGGCTTTTAACTGCTGTGTTTGGGGAGTTTTCAAAAGGCCAATCAAACTGCCCTCAAAACTACTTTGGGCTGTCCAAGCAGCACAGTAAGAATAAGTGCCCAGCCTAGCACCTCTCTGTTCCATGCCACTAGAAGGGATGAGGTGGTGTCTCTTTATGTCTTATTCATAGATGGGGAGATGGCATGTTTTATGTTTTCTTCCCTTTGTTCCCTGTCTTTTCCACCTGCCATTTGTGAGTGTTCAGAGGTCAGAGATTCAACTGTTAAAGAGAGAGAGCCTGAAACTTATGTAAGGTAACACTGACTTTTAAAAACCAAAGCAAAAATTGAAGGTTTTAGAAGACCGACAGAGGCATAACTAATATTAAAAGTTACATAGCTATTGAAAAAACAAATCCCAAGTTGCAGTTCAGTCAGGTGAAAGAGGCTACAACAATCATCAGAGATCTTTTTAATCATACCAATAAATCACCCACTATACACAAAATATCACAATATACAGGGTCATTGGGTCATCAGAGGTATTTGCTCTCTAGTTAGGAGAATATGATCAATTCAGAGTCCATTGTCTACCATAGTTCTAGAAAGCAAATAGGCAACTACAAATTCACCTAATGTAGGTAAAAATTTAATGAAGGATTGATCATTGATCACTCAGCAAATATGATGTAAAAGCACCACCGAGTTAAGAAGCCTTTGTCCATACTTTTGTGGACATTAGAGTGGTATTTGACTTCATCAGTGGATAAAAAAGTATGACTTGTGTTCCATATGGATGTTACTGAGTGAGTGGAAAGGTTTCAGGGATTTTTTAAATTGTTATTTAGACATGTGTAATATGCAAAATGCTAGAAATAATTACATTTAATTTAAAAGTTGAAAAGATCCACCTGAAGTGTAAGTTTAGCCAAGGCCACAAACTTATGTGAGTTTCAAATGTAGTACTTACCATGCCAAAGCCTCTCAAGGCTTTTTATAGATGATCTACAATACACAGTAAATGAATGAAAACAAGCAAATCTTTGGCTTGTGAGGCAACTACTGAAATACTCAGCAACAAAAACAAGCAGCAGAGATAGAATGCATGAAAGTGAAAGAATGAAACAAGGTCAATAAAGAGTACCTAAGGCACCTTGTTTAATAATCATCTTTGCTACACTCCTTAAGACCTCCAAATAACATAAATCTGTAAATGCTAAGGAATGTGAAGATGAAACAACTGAGGAGATTAAAGATGAAAAAGCAGAGGACAAAATACATTACTCTTATTTGTAGTTAAAATTCCCATGATCAAAGGATGTGAATAAATATATTCTTTTAAGTTATAATGAAGTAAAGAGAAGAATCAGAGCTAGGAAAATGAATGAAGGAGGAACCAGTACCGTTAAGAGTAAGTTCATTTGATATTCATGAATTGCAAGTCAAAGCGAAGTAGAAAACAAGGCTGGAGATTGGGATATTTCCTCTATTGTCTAGTGCATTTCTCAGTCTCAAGTGAGACTATGGCAGGGGGGAATATCCCCCTTAATTTAAAAAACAAAAGAATAGGAGAGTCCAGTCCATCTTTGCTTTAGGAATATGCACTGTACAGCAGGAATTGCAAAACTGTCCTTGCAAAAAAAGAAAAAAAATGCAAAGGAGAATTTTAAAGAGGCCTGGGAATTCTGTTTATTCTAAAGTAAATAAATTAATTACCACCTTAGTTGAGACTTTCATCAAATGCGGTATGGAGTGGACTGGTATTATAAGCTACATCTGATGACAAACTAGTTAAATCTTGGTTTGGCCACTCCTCCCTGCAAATCAATGCCAATTAAAAAAAAAAAGGCAGGGAAGAATTCCATTACTACTCTGGCTTATTACACAAGATGGTTTGTTAAAGTGAGTCAGATATATTGAGTCAGCTTCCTTTTCTTATACTAGAAAATAAAGCATTTAATTAAAGCTCTCTTTGACATAACTGGCTTACTACAAATTTGATGACCTGGGTGCAAGATGTTCAGTCAGCTTCCAAATTTCTGTTCCTTACCTACTGCTAGCTAAACGGAAATTTATCCTTCTACATACTTTTCAGGAAAAAAAAAGCCAACAAACCTCTATCCATCTCAGTCTCTGGCCTTATTTGAATACTAGTTTCTCTATACACATCTAAAAGTTTCAAAACACCATGAGAGATTGAAAGGAGAAATTGCTGAGAAATTTGTAGGTATCCAAATGTGTGCAGCAGAGTAGGAAGTTAGGTCAGCTGAATGTCAGGAAATATAAATCCTTCTGAGGGTTTTTTGTTTCCACATAGTTTTTGGACTATCAAACGAAAGTCTGCAATAGCCAGAAGCCTGCTTACATTTTAATGCATATTAATTATAAACTGTACAACAGCATTTAGTGTTCATGAAGATGATTGTTACGCTTTTGGTGTTTTTAGGAAAGCACATCAAGCTTTAAAATAGAATAAGACTACTGTCTTTCAGTACCTAGACTTTGTGCTCATGAAGTACAAAAAACCACAGACATTTTCCTCATTGCTTTTACCTTGTGTTCTCCCCTCAGGTATGGCCCATTTCCTGTTCCCTCGGAGCTACCTTTGGCTATATGGCTGGTCTGATTATTGCACCTCTGTGGATACACTGGAACCGGAAGCAGCTTACATACAAAAGCAGATAACTGGAGCAAAAAGAGACAAGGTATTTCTTTGTGCAGATTCCATACAGACTGTGCAAAAGTTGGGTTTTTTTAAGAGCTATATATATATAATCAAAGCAGAAGACTGTCCAAATTCAGTTAGAATATTTTAGGCCAAGCATCTCCATTCAGTAAAATCACATTGATGCCATTTCAGCATGGTGCAGTTTTTGCTTCCTCTAGACTGCGTAACCCTGAGAGATTGTACCTTCCAGTCTGAATAAAATATTTGTAACAGATATGGTGGCTTCTTAATACAAGTTCATCGAGTTTGATTTTATTCCTCTGGATTTCACTGGTTGTAGAAGGCAGAAACGTAGGTTTAACTTTCAAACCTGGAACAAATTCACTATGTACTTAATGCATTGTATTTAAAATCAGTAGAATTTCACAGTAAGCCTGGCCATTGTCAAATGTTTCTCACGTGATCAAACAGCAGTTTATGCATCTTGAGCCTATTCTCTTCTTCACTGTGTGTTTCTTTGGAGTTAGAATGGCTATAATAGCTTCATCAAAAACAGTCTTCAGTCCTTTCTGTGTTAAAGCTGAACACTCCACATAACAGTAGGCTCCTATCTGTCAAGAAAATAAGTTAATTCAATAGCAGTATGTCTCAGCTGTTCAATTCCATTTGGGCACTTCTGCTTTTCCCCCCACTTCACCCCACATAGCAACATTGCAATGTTTGGCTGCAATCTAAAAGTTATCTGAATGTGTACCCCCCTGTAGGAGAAAATAAGATTTGTCTTTTGTCCAGAAATTTGGAACGTATTTAAGTTGATTGGTCTCTTATGGGAAACAAAAAAGTTCTTTAGATTGGCAGTGGAAGCCTAAGATATGGTTGATAATTAAAGAGCAAAAAATAATTAGGTGACTCATTTGTGTTTCAAAAATAAACGTTCTGTAAGTGTCCTGATAAGCATTATCCATGCAGTAGTTACAGTGGTAGTATAACATTCTCAGATAATGTCTAAAAGATGCTTCCAACATTTTGCTTGAGCAGGAGAGGTCCCTTCCAACCTCAACCAGTATGTGGATTTTATTTATCTTTGATTAATATTTATGTAGCTTGTATAACTTTTATAAGTGTCTACACTGAAAATTACAACTAATGCTGACAAGAAAGTGTAATTACATAGGTCTCCTTGTTACCTATATTTGTTAATGTAAGTAAGTGTTGTTAACTGGTAAGCAGTCATAAGATTTCATATGTGATCTGCTAAAAGATATGCAAAAAGTGGTAAAGGAAGACAAAGTCAAGTAGAAATAGGGGTGCTTTGTTGTTGTTCTTTGTTACTTGGTTTCATATAGGAGTATCCAGTTTACCTCTTTTGCTAACTTCTGTCCTTGCTCCACAGATACGGGCTTCTCTTTCATATCATTCAGTCTTGCCAGAGTTTTTGGGTCATCACGGAGATCAATCTAGCAAGAAAGATTGAAGTCATGTTGGAATACTTTCTCTAAACAAAAGTCTGCAGGCAATATGATACCCTCTTTTTAAAGGAGAATTATTCAATGGACTATTATCTCTGTAAAAATGGAGTCATGTCATGATTCAGATTGTGGACCCTTCCTGATTCAAAACCCTAAATTTAAACTGTGAGCCTTTAATCCAGAAGGAGGAAGCATTTATTCTGTAACTCAGCACTTCAATTAGATGTGATCATCTTAGAACACCAAATGCAGTGGCAGAAAGATTAACCCAAAGGTAACACCAGCATGTGGGTCACTTCGTAAATAAAGCCCAGTCCACTACCCACAAGAAGCAAGAGGAAATTGTCTCGCTTCTCCCCTTTTCCTTTGCTTCAGCAAATATTTCATGTGACTAATAGTTGTAAACCCAAGTAATTCCAGTAACATGGGCATGAGCAGACACTTTTATTCAGTAAGTCCCATGACTTTTTAGAAAGTCACATGGGAGACATACAGCCCATCTTGCCAGCCACTGTATTTCAAATGGATATAGGTTTTTTTAACAAATAGAGAGATAGATAATTGGAGAACAACACATATCTGTGTTTTTCTGCCATCTGTAAGGGTTGTTCCTTCAAAGGCAGGAGGAGTTGCTGCTCAGGTCCTGTTGGACCTCAACTTCCAGCCCAAAGAAAAGGCACTGTACAATGATCCTAATTGTTTAAATAAGGTAGAACAGAACCAAATATACCTGTGTTCCTACTAGTAAAAAGGGAACATTAGGTGCATATTCCTTCAACTCCGGTACCCACTCTTCCTTCACATTTTGAAATGAAGCAGGGTTTACCACTGAGAAGCAGATAAGGAAGACATCGGTCATAGGGTAAGATAAAGGTCTCAGACGATCATAGTCTTCCTAAGGAAGAAAAATTCTGTTATCTGCAATATTAAATTGTTGCCTGTATTTTAACAGTTATATTCAGAAACTGTATTTGTATTTCAGGAAAGTTGTTGAGGCAAACTTTCTGAATGTTTAAAACTATTCCAGGTTACTTAGTGTCACTGTTAGAGCAAAATCTACATATGAAGATAAGTATATATGAATATAAATATTTTGAAAAATGTGTTAATACTGATAGAAACTTGCTTCTCTATGAGAATATACAGAAGATTACCATTCAAAAAGTTTTCACTTAAGGAAAAAACCAATACTTGCAGATCAAAGATTAGTATTTGTAGAGAAATGAGCAGGTGTGCCTGCTGTAGAGTCATCCAGGTTATACAAAGCTAGACTAGATTAAGGCTGTTTGATGCACTTAAATGTTCTGTTTTGGATCATACACAGAGGTGATATTTAAAACCCTCCTTAGAATTTTCTTTGTTTCTTAGAAACCTTACAGTCCTATTCTTAGTGTTCAGGGCAGTAGGAAGGATCAGAAGGGACCTCTTTTGTCTAGACTGTGCTTTCTACTAGCAAGCCCAGCAAAGGATCAGATGGAACAGAAATTCAGGATCAAGAACACTATCAGTGGAATATTAATGCCTCTCTTTGTTGGGAGTGCTGGGGAAGAGTTAGTGTGAAAAGATTATTTAGGACATTTAGAGCCCCGGCATTTAAAGTCAGCAGTCCTACTGCCAGGGCATACAACACAAGTACCTAGGAGCATTGCCCCTCTTGTAAATCAGAGTTCTGTCCAGCAAGGGAGAAAGTGGAATTTTGCCCTATGTTTTAGCTAACATCCGGAGGGAACATGCCTCAGCTTCTCTCTGTAAGGCTTCCTTTGGTCTTTGGCAGTGAACCAATGCCTTATCATTCCTACTATAGAATTTTGGTGGTTTTTGCAACATAGATAACTAAGACTGAGCCCAGGCATTGCAGAGACTCTGACAAATGCTGGATTTATACCTTCCACAGTAAACACCAATTTATTAGGGCTGCTGCAGCAGTTTCCCTCTTTCCCATGTAAACTGCCCATATTAATTAAGTCTCACAAATAATGCAATTATTTGTTCACTAAACATGGAGACAGAAATGTAATTCAAGTCCATGTTTGAAATGAGACAGAAAATTAAATTTCTGTTTCCTTGGCAACAGCCACATTACCAGATTATTAACCTGTAGTCACACCCTCAAAAATGCCCTTCATTGATTTGTTAGGTTTTAAACATGAATTTCAGAAAAACTGTGAGAACTTCTTCAGAACAGTTTCTGCTTGGCTCATCTTTCCATTTGGAAGTCAACAGCTGTGGAAAGAGAGCTGTTACTCTCATGAACTGGAGGAAAGACAAGCACAGACAGAAATTCTGCAGTAGCAAGGAAGTGATCATCATTGTCATACTCTTATGCCATTTTGAGTATCCACTCTAGTTTTGTAAACAGGCTTGTCAATTAGCTAGAGCATGCTTAATTGTTGACATGGCTTCCCAATTTCCCAACCACAGTAACTGATGCCACTTTGAAGCTACAACATTTGACAGGCCTTTTCCCTGCCTGTGTCAAGCTCTTGCCCTGATTCAGAAGAAACAGTAACCATGTCTCTTCCAAATCTGTGGACATTCATCATAGAAAGCAGAAATAACTTCAAAACACCAAACACAGGAAGTTCAAACTCTTTTAACATTCAGGTTTTTTAGGCATGTATTTTATGTTTCATTTCTACTACTTTATATAGCTGGATCCTGCTCAGTCTTGCACTCTGTTTTCTGGGGTGGAGACTTAAAATCCTAAAAGAAGCTTCTCAACTACCAATTACTCTGTTCCCTGGGGTACAAAATCTGCATGAAATAACACAAAGTGGATCTGTCAGTTGCTCTCAAATTCAGCTCTAAATCATATGTGGGGTATTAGTGAATAAGTTGTGTTTTTAAAAAATCTAGTTAAAAGCTATAATTTGTTCCTACCACCAAAGAGCTGCCCTCCCTATACTCTACATTTTCTAAAAATCTCATACCTGGATTAGCATAACTAGAATACTGCCTGCACTACATGCTGGAATGAAGAAAGCATTTCACTGTCACCAGAAATTACTGTTAGTCCATTGACCTTAAAATAGCTCTTTAGTTAATCCATTTCAAATTACAGTTGGACCTTTTATTTATAGCAAATATAAATAATTTTCTTAAAGCTAGTCTCAGGTCTGAACTCCTTTCCTGCTCCTGCATTTGTTTATATGCCTTTTGATTTATACCCTATCCCACTTCCACTGGGCAAGCTGCGGGCAAGTGTAATTAAGAGTTAAATGGAAGACAAGTAAAATGTGATTGGATACACAGTGGATACATCATGTACCACAGCCAAAGATGCGTGTGGTATTTGCTGCCGTGGCTTCACTGCATTTAAGCTTCCGTAAATTATCAGAGAATTTGTCTATACCCACCAGTCCTGCTGCTTGAAACATGACAGCACTCCCAGGCACTCCTTTAAACCTTGTCTGTGCTCTGAACATTAGGTGTGCACTGATACTAATAGTGGCAGTAGTTCTAACAAAGCCTCCCACCACATGATTGGACTGGTCCTGAGTCGTCCTGGGAGAAACTGCTTCAATTTTGTCAGCATCTAGTAGGCCATCTGTGCTTAAAGACTCCTTCTGCCTCCTAACAGCCCCTCAGAAACAGCAATAAAACCTGTAAACTTTCTCTGATGTACTGGGCTAGCATAACTGCTACAAGCAGTAGAAGAAGCTGAAATACCAAATTAATTTAGACTGAATATTAGAGAAGTCTGGGAAAATCTTACTGTTTCAACTATTATTTATTTCCTGAATCTAGTGTAAGGGAAATAAATGTGGTTTATTCTAAAATTACATGCAATGGCAAAATTGATTATACTAGCCAGTCAACAAATTCCAATTTGAGTACACGTACATACCACACTATACAGCAATTAGACTAATTAGACAATCTGATTGGGGGAGGCACTACATATATATTTAGGCTTTAAAAATATCTAAGGATATTAGCAAAAATATTTTAAGAATGTGAATAAGATGGGCAAGAAAGCCCCCAAGGATTGAAATATTCAGCATAAGTCTCAAAAACTTGAGGCTATAATAGTGAAACAGCTCATTCTCCAACATACTCTGGAGGTTAAAAAAAATTGTTTGCTGAAGCAGGTGAATACAGAAAATATGAGGGCTGTAGTAACTTCAAAATAATTGGACAGAAGAATGTTGACTTAATTAATGTTCTATGGAACTGTGATCCTTCTAGAAGACATGACACAGCAGGGCTGTTCATAACTTCTCTAGTATCCCTGTGGAAACCCAGGGCAGCTACCAGTACACAACAGACATGAAGAAGGAGATGAGATGAAGGACCTAAGGACTTGGCTTCTCAACTGCAAATGGGGGCTTTTGTTTTTAAAGTGCAGAATGGAAATTGAGACTTCAAAATTACCATGTCTTCTTATGGTAGGCTGCAGGTATGTCTAGCATTGCCTTTATCTTGGTTCCTTGAAATCTGTCCTTTAGGTCTCCTTTTCCATGTGCAGTACCTAATAATCTGCCTGAGATTTTGTGCTGCCTTATATTTGAATACTGTATTTTGGATGATGAAGAAGATTTGCTCTAACATGTCCAAAATCTGGCTATTTCCAGCATTTACCTGTTCAGAAACAGAGGGCTTGAGAAACTTTTTGTATGCAGACTAAAGACTGGTATTGCAATTCCACAGCATTATAATATTCTTCATTTAATAGGTTTGCTCAGACCAAAAGCAGAACACAGTGTCCCATTTCAAGTCATGCATTTGATTTTGAATTGATACTTTTGCCTAATTCTATGGATATCAGCTGAAACACAGCTAAAAACATGGAAACTGTATTCCAAATTCTGCCACTGACACAGTATGTAGTCCTGAGCAAATCATTATCCTCTCTCTGCATCCTCCCATCTGTAGGGGTTTGCTAGCTTAATGCATTAGTCTTTGGAAAGCACTCCAAAAGCCTTTGATGTACACAGCTTATGTGCAGTGGAATATTTAAAAAATGAAATAAACTCGGACAAAATGGAGTATAATAATTTCTGGACAACCTTCTTGACCCACAGAAAGCACTATTTCCTTATATTTATTAGAACTGAAGTGAGAGGCGCAGACATACAGGGATTCTGTATGTAGAGCCCTTGTAGCTCCCAGATCCATGGTATCGCGCTCCTCCCGGCTCGAGTTGAAGTGCTGGACACAGCGACAGAGGTCCTTACCCCTCTGTCAGCAGTGTGAGACCACAGGCCTCCTGCTCCTCTGGAATGGTATTAGGGCCCCTCTGTCTGAGAGATGAAAGGCACTTAGTCCTTTGCAGCCAATACCTTCCCATACCTTGACCAAGATCTATGAGGAAGTCCAGGTCTCTCAGATCTGCCATTTCAAGTTGTGAAGGTTGTGAAGACAATGTTAACCTAGATCTGTCTGGTTGATTTTTATTTCCTTGCTAGTGTTTTTAAGAAAATAGGAGAAACCAAATTCTGATGTGTCACTAACGCTGACGCAAGGGGCCTAAGATGTGTCATGTTTTAATCCACACTCAGTATCTTGTTCTGACAGAACCAAAGTAATGAATTCTTGTCACTATTGAGAAAGAAAGCGGCACAGACTTCAAGAAGGCTGGTCTGCACAACAACTGCTCTAATGAGAAAACCTCTCCTCTTTATAGACTGACTGGACACGTTCTACCTGATTGGCTAATTAACAAAACACTTTTCTCACAATCCCTGAGAAGAACAGAAAAACCAAGAGTAGAAAAACACCACCTGCAGGTTGTTTACAATAACAAGCTATCATCATTTCTCTACAACGCCCTAAAAGTCTCACAAGTCCGCCGTGAGAAAACTTACCTCGTTTTCTTGCTCTGTGACCAGGCCGTCATATCCACAAATTATTTTATGTGTTTTGCAGTTTAGGAATGAAATTTTAACAATGCAT